TTAAACACTTTTTTTTTTAGCCATACAATGTGCATAAAAGATTATATAGTACTGAGAATGAGAGAAATTTATCAACAACTGGAAGGCATAAAGATAAAACAGTTGGTTGAATAAAAATCTCTAACTTCATACAAAACTTTTATCAGAGCAGATTTGAAACACTGGTACCCAAATGGGCCTACACGTTTCACACACTTACAGTCAAATCCAGAATTAACCAAATGTGCCCACAATTAGGTAGCATTAATTCAATGCACAGTATCAACATCTGTAACATGAACAAATGGGAGCAACAAGAATCTACAATTTTGCAAAAGTTATACATTTCTAAAACCATATCTCATAACCAGTAATGCCAAGGGGGTTAAAAGAAACTCTATTCAGCTGGTCACTGGCAAAAAAGTAATTTTTTTTACTTATTTTTTTAAACCTTGCCATTCTATAAATAAAAGAAATATCAATTTATCAAGTAATGTCCTACTGGCCTGCTATACTTAGTTCTAATCGTTATATTGCATTTACTGATAGAGCATAAACTGATAAGTGTACATGACTAAAAGTTAGAAAGTCCAGCTAGATTGGTTGGATCTAAGAGCATACACAACCAACATTAAACATTGAAGACAAACCAGTATTTGAGCTGTCAAGTTTTGGATTAAAAGCTGTAAAATCCAAACATGAACACAAATTGTTAATTCTCAATGAAATTATGGCAAACATGGACCTTCATGCCTGCAAAAAAAAAAAAAAAAAAAAAAAAAAATCTGTATTTCAAAAGGATGGGTTTTTCCATTAGCGTCGCTATAAATTTTAGCTATGTTCACTCTCCTAGCAATGTTTATTTACAAAATTATAAAAAAGATTTATTATTTACTATTTCATAAAGAAATAAATGTGAAAAGAAATCTCTTTATATAAAAATTTTTAAAACATTACAAAAATGTAAACCATCTACAATGCAATAAGTTTTAAAACATTAACTAATTGCCAGCTTTACCTACCTTCACTCCTTCAGCAATGTTAGTTGTTTTAAAAAGTGACGATTAGAATTTTAATAAAACACAAACATATGAAATTAAATTTATACATATTCTTTGTTCTTTGAGAAATGTTAAACACTATTTACTTATTAGATTGTTTATTTGCAAAAATAATTTTATATATATAATACTCTTAAAATGCAGACCAACTAATACAATGGAATGTTTATCATTTATCAATTTATAAAGAAATAAATATGAAAATTTTTTTTTTTCATTTTTGAAAAGATTTCTTTTCACATTTATTTCTTTATAAAATGTAAATAATTTTTTATAATCTTGTAAATAATCATTACCAAGAGAGTGAACATAGTTAAAATAATAGTGGTATCAATGAAAAAAAATCCTTTTGAAACACTGGGATTTTTTTTGCATGCATAAAGGTCCCTATTTGCCCAAATCACAATATTAGTGCTGATAATGGGATTTTATATGGCGGTAAAATCTAAAAAAGGTTTGAAGCATCACAAATTCAATACTTTCAAAAGGAACCTCATACATTTCAGTTGCCAGATCAATGTTCTTACAATTGAGCCAATGCAAATAGGCAACATGTTAATAATGTTAAAAAAAAAAAAAAAATAGAAATGTTTTTCTGACGTTAAAAAAACATGATTCCATGTTGTGTTCGCCAACTATCCTTTAAAATTAATTAGATGTTAATTTATTATTATTAGCTATTATCGTCATATAACACAAGTAATTAAACATATTATTTTCTTTTTCTTTTGCTTTCTGTTCAGTATAATCCATTACCAGGTCATTACCCTAGGCCAGAGGTAAGGCAGCGAATATATGCATCCTGCTTGCACAAATTCTGATGTCAAGTGATACTTGACATGTACAGTGTTTATATTTTCTTTACATTGGTAAGATTCTCCTGAGTAGATAAGCAGTTCCACATAGAGAACATTTATGAATCTCTTTTAAACAAGTGCTATTAGCAATCTTGTTAATATGCTTGTCTATACCTTTCTTGATCATACCCAGAATTCTAATTATTATAGGCATGACTTTAGTTTTAAGCTAATAATTCAAGATCTTTATATTTACTTGTTTTGTCACATTCACTAACATTAACAGACAAATTTTATCTGGTGACATTGTCATATCTATGAAAAGATATATTTTTTTTTGTTTGTAATCATTATTATTATCATAAACTATGGACAAAAACTGTAACATGGAAGTATTAAAGGCAAACAGGAACTAGGAAACTTATACATACAATTAGAAAGAGACAGCTGAAATTTCTGAGGCACATAATGAGGACAGAAGGCCTAAAGAATTTAACACCCACAGGATATACTGAAGGCAAGAGAAGCAAGGGGAAACAGCAAATAACCTACTTAATCAGTCTGAGTGAATAGATGGGAGAACAAAGACAAAAAAAGGATTGTAAATGGTCAAAGGCTACTTAAAGCAACAGAAATAGATGGGATCTGAAGAGAATTGGCATTTTTGTTGAGGCTCTGAGTATCTGTGCTCAGTGCCAATGATTAAGTAAGTAAGTATCTGGGCACTGTGAAATATTTGTACATAAATATTACATTGTGTTTTGTATATTTACATTACTTCTTTTCCTTTCTGTTTCATAGAATCCTTTGCCAGGTCATTTACATTTTACACAAAACATGGGGTAAAGCAAGGCAGTAAGTAAATATATAACATGTGTAGTGTTTATTTTCTTTACATTGATATTGGATGAGCAGTTCCGACAGTGCAACTTTTTTAATCTCTTGTAAACAGGGGCTGCTAGGGATTTTCTTAAATGTTTTTAATTTTGCCAGTACCTTAGTTTTTTCTATCATACTCAGGGCTCCAATTAACAGTAATTTTATTTTAAAAGGCACCACATTTTTTTCAATTTCAAGATTCTTAATCTTATATTTACTTATTTTGACATTCTTTTTACAGATTTCTATCTGATTAAACTGCCATATCTATAAGAAGTCAAGTATTAAAAGATAACATTAAAGAAAAAAGTACTTTTCTCATTTTAAATTTTATATAAAATTCAATTTTTGACTAAGTGAAAGTCAGTTATCCATCATTTACTCTCTAATTCATTTACAATTACATTCTTTTTTTGCAACAAGTTATTTTTGTTTCTCGTGTAATTTAAATAGTTTCCATTAAAATCAGAATAATGGGTTTTTAATTAATAGTAATAATCAATTTATTAAATTCATTTTTTTTACAATGAAAAACAAAGTATCCTTAGTTCTCAACGAAAACTCAGAAATAAACAAAAAATACCTCCGAAAAATTATGTGAATGAAAAGAAAACAGAACGAGAAAATTTGCTTAAATGAATCAATTGTTTTTTACATTACAATTTTTTACATTAAAAAAATAATATATTTAAAATCTGTAAAAAAAAATAAATAAAAACTGATAAATTATTAGCTTTTTTTGTACTTTTTTGAATCGTTTCTTTCTGATTATTTTTTTCAACTAGTGTTTTGTGAGCAGAGATTTATTTACTGAAATTTAATTTTAGGGTTGAAAAACAAAAAGACTAAAAAAAAAAAAACAGTAAAAAAATACAATACTAGTATAAAAATCAAAATTCATGAACTTAAACTAAAGCAAAAAAAACATTTCACTTTCAGTAAAGCCAGAATTTTTCATTTCTTTCACACCATCAATTTGAATCAAAATAATAAGGGATTTTCCAAAAACATGATCATTGATAAGAAAAGTAAGTTTTAGTATTAATTATAGAGATAAAAATATTTTAAGTTAGTTTTTAAACAGATCTTATTCTTAATCTTATCTCAATAAATTTCAAAATCAGTTTTAAAAGCATTTTTTCTTTATTTTTGTCAACTTATAGAGAAAAGAAATTTATTATTTTGGGGTTGAGAAAGATGGGACGAGCGACTTGTGGAAAAAATAAGTTTTTTCCCCTACCAAAAGTTGATTTTTTAATGACTCATAACAAATAATTATATATATATATATATATATATATATATATATATATATTTACTATATTTTCTCATAAAACTAATTCTTAAAAAGTAAAAACAATAATATTTTGTGGGAGAACCCCCACAGTCGTGATGATATCGTCACCGTCATGTTTACGTTACCTTCAGGGACTCTAAAAATTACAAATGAAAACCTTCAGAATATAGAAAATATAATCTCTAAATTTAATTTACTGAAGCAAAAATTAAATAATTATTCATCATTAAATTAAATTTGTATCCGAAATAAATTTGACAGCCTTTCTTTTTATCATAAAAATTTTAAAACCTTAATAAAAAGAGGTAATTTTACTATTTACCGTTTTTAAAACTATTTTACAATGCTTATTAAAATATAATTTATACACTTAAACTATGAAACATACAGCATTTAATAACAAAAGAATTTGCCAAATTAATGAAAATTATAAATAAGTGGGGGAGCAGTTTTCAATAAATTTTAAGTAATAAACTGATCCCCCTTGTGATTTTTCTTTACCGATTTCAATTTCGTTTAACCCAGATGCAAGAATTAAGCATTTATTTACAGTTCCAGGAAGTAACAGATTATTTCAGAAGTCATTATTATAGATTTTTAAAAGATATTGAGTTTATTTTCCCTTTCTCTTATTTTAATTAAGTTAACGAAAGATTATTTAAGAAAAAAAAGTCATGATTTTTTTCTTTTTAAAGACGAGAAACCGAGAAAAAGGCCAGAACAATCATGGCTGAAACCCAGATCTCTTTCCTGCGATCAACTCGTACATCTTTCCTTAGCTCCTGTCGATTCTATGACTGCCTCTTCAACATTTAACTACCGTCACCAGAGAAACGGCACATCCCTCTATAAATAAAACCGAAATAATACCTAGATATACACCCCCAAATATCTACATCGAGCTGCAACGAGAATGGGGGTGTCCCCGTTTTTTTCGAGGCTTTCTTTATTGCTTCAATTTTAAGCATTAAACAAATTATTACTCACCATTTTCTGACTTTGTCTATTGCATTTATGACTCTTTTGATGTCTTCTTTTGCCCGGCTTCGGGTCTCTGCACGTATTGACCGAGAAAGCATGTTTCTACCTAACAAATTCCAGCTAGTGACGTCAAAAATGGACAGTAGATAAAGGATAAGTAAAAGCGAACAGCGAGACTGGCGGACGACGACTATAGCGATAAATGTTGTTTGTGTGTTATGGCGGACAAACTGAAATTGAACGATCAGAAGCGTTCACTGTATGGAAGACCAGATGCTCCATAAAAAATACATTAACAATCTACTGATTTTCACCTTCTCCAATCGTCCGCACTCTGTTTCAATATTAAATTGATAATTATTTAATGGTTAAATAATTATGATGGGTTCTTAGTGAAATAATTAATGAATTATACAAAGTAATCGAAAAGACAATACTTTGTATCTACCATATCAGGTTCCTTTATTTTACGGATGTACATTATTGAAACAATAATATAATTTCGTTTCTTTAATCATGGAAAATTGGTAAAATTTTAGATATAGAAAAAACTTAGCATTTATGTAAATAAATGTTAATTTTATAATACCATATTGTCACTAAACTAAAAATATTTAACTGCATAACGTTCTTGAGATCATAAAAATAATGTTTAGAAATTTTACTCTATGATAATAAAAAAAATACATCTAGTGTATTTGTACAAGTATTTTTCTGGAATATCTGTAAATTTTAATTTTTAGTACAAGGGTGATTATCTCCCTTGCACTGGCAATACCATGTAGCGGTGTCTTTTTTGTCTGAATTTTTTATGTGCGGAAGTATCATTATTATACAGTGATTTACTTTGACGAGTGTCTATATCTTGATTGTTACCATTATGATGTTTTGGCTATTATCATATTATTATGCAGTGTTTTACTTTGATGAATAGGACTGGCGCATACTACCCCCCCCCAAAATCCCCTAACTGACAGGGAAAGCCTAATTAACCCTCACTAATTTATCAACATTTGCTTTTTTCTTACCTACATTTATATATGCTACAAATTAAACTAAGCACAACTGACTATTAAAGGATGAAAAATTTTTGCAGGTTTTAATGTTATTCTGTTTAATTTTCATCTTTTTTGTCCAAATCTGTGAATTTGCTTTGCTCATGCTAAGTATCAAAAAACACTATATAAAATTCACTATTTTTTATCCATAATGTTGAATGTGTTCAAATTATTCAATTTTTTGACATATCTCTAATTTTTATTTAGATAGATTGTATTTATTTTCAATTTTTCTAGTTGAATTGTCCACCTATATTGCATATGATACATTATTGTACATAATTAGATTAGAATAAAATTTGTATTTTATATGAATATTACCTTATGAAAACTGAGATATAGTAGAGTGGTATGCTCCATATCATAAACTAGCAGCATGGCCCATCGTTGCCCATGCTTGATTAAAAAATCATACGACTCATACAGCAATCGCTATCACTTAACTTAAATATTTTCGCCTTTCCTTGCCTTTAAAGGAGTGCCCTTTGCTGTGCTGATGTTGCTACATGCCTTACTTCTTGCCTATCTCAAACTGCGAATTTTTTCTAAGCTCTATACTAAACATTAAAAAAAAAAAGAACTAAACAAAATGAACACAAAACAATCAGCTTTAAAAAAGGACTTGTAACTGGAAAAACTGAATGAAAAAAGAATGTTAACAACAAATACTTTTTCACACCCAACCCAGTTCTGCAGAATCAGAATCAACGTTGAGTTTAAGCAAGCGAATGAGCCAATTGGAATAAAGTGCCATGCAGATTTAAATTTTTCCTACTTGTGACGAATGCAGCTATCGATTTTTTTTTGCATGCTAGCATGCATTCATGTCAGTCAGCTGTTGGCTCTCACACTGGCCAATAGAATCTTCCTGCATATTCGTGGCAGCCAGCTATAGGCTCTCACACTGGCCAGTAGAAAATGGCCGCAAACTACATGAAAACTGCCATAAAAGCATGAAAAAATCGATTATTTCCATTATCGATGGGAGTTGGGAAATGCAAAGTCAGTTTTGGCCTTCTTGCTAACTTGGAGCATATACATGTAAATTTTGGTGCAAATCAGTTGAAAATTGCGGCCGTGCATTCATTACACACACACACACACACATCCTGCCTTTTATAGATAGAGATGCACACACACACACATCCTGCCTTTTATAGATAGAGATGCACACACACACACACATCCTGCCTTTTATAGATAGAGATGCACACACACACACATCCTGCCTTTTATAGATAGAGATACACACACACACACATCCTGCCTTTTATAGATAGAGATACACACACACACACACACACACACACACACACACACACACACACACACACACACACACACATCCTGCCTTTTATAGATAGAGATACACACACACACACACACACACACACACACACACATCCTGCCTTTTATAGATAGAGATACACACACACACACACACACACACACACACATATCCTGCCTTTTATAGATAGAGATACACACACACACACACACACACACACATCCTGCCTTTTATAGATAGAGATACACACACACAAACACACACACACATCCTGCCTTTTATAGATAGAGATACACACACACACACAAACACACACAAACACACACACACACACACACACATCCTGCCTTTTATAGATAGAGATACAAGGAGTGTTGATGAGACCCATGAGACCCTGTTGATGAGTGTTCATATCTTGACTGTTACCATTGTGATGTTTTGGCTACTGTACTCTCCAGCCTCCTTCAGGTGCTTGTTCTTGATAGCAATTTTGAACTAAACTACTTATTCAACCCACATTAGTAGATTGTTATAAATTCTGCTGGATAAAATCTGATGAAAGCCAGAGTGTATAGTTGAAATGTTGTAATGATAATAACCAGGATAGGCAAGAAACACATGTAAGAAAAGTTTTTGATATTTCATAAGTACTATACTATTGCAAAATTATTTAAATATACCATCAGTTTTTGAAGGTTTGGGTAAATTAGTATTACTGTCATATAGGAAGAAAATGAGTATCTATGGACACTGAGGTTCGAGTGCAACACCCTGGACTTATGAATATATGTTTTCTGCTAGGTGTATAAATTGCATTGTCAGGCTACTGCAGTGATTATTGAGTGACTATTGAATGGAACTATCCAGTTGAATTAGTGTGAATTATTGTGCATTGGTGATTTAGGTTTTGATTTAACATTTACTGGATGTTAAGCCGAGCCACACTACTAACAAGGTATTCACTGAAATGGTTAATTATCTTTGTTTGACTTTTACTTCTTTGTTCTTGTTAAGTATTTATTTGCGGTTGTAATTAAATACTGTTTTATTTAGCATTGAAGTCTTGAGTTATACTTAATTATTAATGGCCACTGTACGTCACAAAAATTACACACAAATGCAAAGAAATAATTTTTGATAATGATAGAAAACCAAAACATTACTGTGTATCTGCTTTTTATTTTTTTTCAATACTCCTAAGAAGGGCTGCATCTGAACATGCCTGTCTGATCCACAAATTTGTAGGAGAAGGTAAAAGGACAACTGTAAGTAAATAAAATATTATATATGACATATTGGGTCAGAACAAAAGTTTGTGGTATTTTTTAAGTGAACAATATGTAGATATTTGTATCTAGATTTATTCAACCACATATGTGCCATTTTGTTCTACTACTGTTTGCCATCTGTGATGCAACTTCATAACTCCGTCCTCCCAGAACTTGGCATCATTCTGGGTGAAGAACTGGACTAAGTGGTTTTTACAGACTTCCATGGAATTGAAGTTTCTCCTATTAAGAGAATTTTGTAAGGATCAAAATAAGTGGTAATTTGATTGATTGATTTGTTTTTGCAGCTTATCAACCCTTTGTAAATTTTTTAAAGTGAGAAAATCTTTTTACATTATAAGAATTTTTGGAGATAATAATGATTTACTGATACAACACCTACTAATTAACCCATAGCTGGTGAGAGAAGAGGTGGATTTATACCTTTCCTAAAGATATTTGCACGTAAGTAAATATAACAATCCTGACTGGAATTAAAACTCAGCTCTCTGATTTCCAATTCCAATCTGCTATCTATTACACCACTTACACATCCATGCTTACAACACCCTGCATTCCGAAGTAGTCACCCATCTAGGTACTAACCAGGCTCAATGTTGCTTAACTTTGGTGATTGTATCAGAACCAGTGTTTCAACATGACATAGCCATAAGCCATGGTATCTGAAGATGCAAGGTCAGATCAATGTGGCAGGTGTAGTAGGACAAGCACCACCTCCTTCAGATTAAAACTGCCTTTTGGAGTGATTAATGGTGGATTATTTTGTTTTTCCCCAGGAAATTTTTTGTTCCACATTGTTGTAAGCCATCCATTTTTCATTGCCTGTGATTATTCTTTTCAAAAATGAGTCATATTCATTGTGTTTGAGCAAAGAATTAAAGATTGAAATGTGGTCCATTTAAATCTTGAGGCACTAAAACATTGTAGTAATTCACATATCCAAGGGTTTTCAAATATTTTATAATGTTTATATGAGATATGTGGAGTATCTGTGTTATGTTCTACATCATGTGACCTAGGTTATTTTTTAATCAGTGTTTCAATTAGGCCAGCTGGAGCAGGATCAGTCTTTTAGATTAAAATTCTAAACCTAGTCAACCACATGGGGACATTACTAAAGCTATGGCACCACCTCCATAAATGGCACATATAATTTTTACTGTTCATATAGCATTTTTTCCTTTCCAGAAATAAAAGAAAATCATTATTTACATGTGGACTGTTGTCCTCATTTTTGCTGTTGCTTTCACAACTGTTGTAGCATACCTACGGATGATAATGGGTAAGTCCCCATTCACATAAATACAGTAATAAATACTATATGTTGGTCTGCAGTTGGAGATTCATTGTGGAATTCACTTGACTCACTTCTAGCAGTTACTACTACTTCTACGTACCACCGGCGAATCTTATATGTGTTGTTCGTGCCCTAAGTATTATCGTTCTTTACCAACCTTCATTTTATTATTCTATTCAGTACCATTCCCTAGGTTGCAACAACAATGTTTTAGCATTCCTCTGGCCTTCGTGAGGTATATGTCAATCCAGGTAAACTACAGGGAACTGAACTTTTTATTCAATCTATGAGGATAAATTGTTCTCATTCCACTGCTTACACCTAGGGATATCTTGTCTAGTTCTTATTTTTAGTTCTGTCCAGTTATTGCTCACCCTGTTTCTAGGGATTGAACTCACAATTACTATGTCACCAAATTTATGAGTCAATGTTTTAATCTCTGAATGTATTATCCTGAAGAGCAATTCTGTGTGAACTTAGAGACTTAAGCCATAATCTTCTCTTTTGTTACAGCTGCTGTTGAAAACCTGATGTCATTTGTCTTTCCTTTTTCATTAACAGCTCCTATATTATATTCATTTCTATGCTAGGCCTACTAAGGAGGTCCTCATAGCCTAGCATATGTATAGAAATTAAATTATCTATATATTTTTCAACCAATAAAATCCCATCAGAAGGTTTGTTTGATAAACAATCAATACAAGGGGGAATATCACCAAAATACTTAGCAGATGTAGTTGTAGATGTGACACATGTTATTTTTGGACCATTTAGAAAATAACAATAGTAACTTCCTTCACTACTACCAAATTGAAGAAAAAGATTCTAACTTATGAAAACCTTGTATTCAAAAACTTCACACTTCAATGTAAAATTAGATTTTGGATCCCTTTACAGCTATAAAAATAGAAGTATACTGCTTCTTTGGGTTCAAAACAATTTGATCTACACATGTGTACACACGCACCCACATACATACACACAATAAAGAGATAATAGGCAGCAGCTGCAGACTAAGGCCTTGCCAATTAAATTACAAATATATGAGCCTGACCATCATAAAGTCTATCCACACATCCTACATTGCACTAAGAACACTTAATTACTTGAAAAAACAAACTTCACTGCAAAGAAAATTAAGCTTTTTATTGCTATTGTATATTTCTGAAAAGAATATATAAATATAATTTCAACTGACATTCTACTTTTACTTTTTTATTCAGAAAATAACCTTTTTTTATGCTTCAGTTAAAAGATGGATTGTTAAATGTTTGGGATCCCAACACTTAGTTAAAAACAAAAACCTGAGCAGTCCAGATCCCATCAACAGTATGCTTAATCATGTGACTGCTATTTCATGAAAGGTACAACCAAGAAATTATTTCCAGACAGTTTCTGGAAATGTTTCCCAATATTTTATTTGTGACTAGCAATGTGGTCAACTATTGCCATTTTAAAATAATTTTTTTGAAAACCATTTCATATTATATTATTACTTTCTGTCATAAAATGTCAATATTCTGTTTGTGTAAAACTGTGATAGTGGCCTTATCATTAACAAATTAAAGTGGAAGTGATAAAACAACAAATGGTGATAAGACATGATTGAGATAAGCAAAATAGTTATTTATTTCCCAGTGATTTACAAAATTTGATCACTTGCTCATTCCTGAGTATCATATATCAGTTGTAGGAGAGTGAGAATTTGTTGAGGGTAAAATGCAAGGTAGTAGTCGAAATAGATATGTGAATAAAATCAATATGCATATGTAGTCAAGTGCAATAAATTCATGAGAGATATTTCACAAATTATTGCATTGTAGTAGTTGTGAGTTAGTCTCTGCTTCTGCCATTGGTTTCATCACTGGCTGAAGACATCGCTGTTGATGGAAGTGCCTTGGTGTCGCTGCTGTGGTGTCCATCACTAATGCCAGCCTGGGTGAAATTGGAATTGGCTTTATAGTCAGTTAGTGGCTCAGAAATGGCTGCCGTGAAAACTGCATGGGTTTTTTTTCTGATTGGTCAAAAAAGATGTTTATAGTGGGATAGTTCAAGGGGGAGACAACTGTTTATGCCTTAACCACAAACACACTCATAAAAAACAGAATAAGAGTTATTTTATGAAATAAATGAAATAAAAAGGAAATTAAATTGGTGCAGTTTAAAGTTGGTGGATAAAGAAAGGTTTGGTCTGACACAAAATGATACTTTCAGGAATGTTTTTTTTTTCAAATGAACATCAGTATGTAAGGGAGTGAGACAGGGGATTTACAAAGCAAGAGAGAGAGAAAAAGAGAGAGAGATTTATATACACAGTGTGAAAAAGGAGTTCTTTGGATTCTGCTGTGGCTTGGTCGATGGAAAGGAGATAGACTACTGACAGACAAACTATGTGGAAAACATTTAAAAGAAAAGATTTTCATGCATTATTCGATTTTTGTTAAATCAGTTTTATTTGTTTTCCATTTTAGTTAATGCTGAATGGAAATTAATAACAAACATACAACCTTTATTAATTTAATTGAATCTTGATGAAAAATAACTAAATTTGTAGAGGCAGCTATCTAGGTTACAAGGTCTTTTTGTACCAGTTCACTCCAGTTCAACAAGACCCATTGAAAAATTGTCTATTGCAGAGCCTTTTTTGTATTTTCATTATTTATTAAGAATTTGGTCTTTGTTACAATAAACCTATCTTTTTTGTTGATTATTCATTAAAAATTTGGTCTTTGTTATAATAAATCTTACTTTTATCTTCATTGTCTATTACAAATTTGGTCATTGTAACAATAAAACTTACTTGTATATTAATCATTTATTAAAAATTTAGTCTTTGTTAAATAAACATTTCTTTTATGTTCATTATTTATTAAAAATTTGGTTTTTGTTACAATAAACCTTTCTTTAATGTTCATTATTTAATAAAAATTTAGTCTTTGTTGGAATAAACCTTATTTTTATGTTCAGTATTTATTAAAAACTTGGTTATTGTTACAATAAAACATATTGTATGTTCATTATTTACTAAAAATGTAGTCTTTGTTACAATAAACATCCTTTTCTGTTCATTATTCATTAAAAATTTGGTTTTTGCTTACTTATATATTCATTATTTATTAAAAATTTAATCATGGTTACAAGAAACTCTTTGTTTATGTTCATTATTTATTAAAAATTTGGTCATTGTTACAATAAACCTTTATTTTATGTTCATTATTCATTGAAAATGGGGTCATTGCTACAATAAAACTTGTATATTCATTATTAATTAAAAATTTGTTATTTTTTACAATAAACCTTTATTTTATGTTCATTATTTACTAAACATTTGGTCTTTCTTACAATGAATCTTTCATATCTGTTTATCATTAATTAAATATTTGGTTTTTGTTACAATAAAACTTACTTGTATTTTCATTGTTTATTAAAGATGTGTCCTTTTTACAATAAATTTATATTTTTTGTTCATTATACATTAAAAATGTTGTGTTTTCTACAAAACGAATTCATTATTTTCTAAAAAATATGGTTTGTGTTACAATAAACCTTTTATTTTTTTCATTATTCATTAAAAATATTATCTTTGTTTCAATGAACCTTTCTTTAATGTCCATTATTTAATAAAAATTCAGTCTTTGTTAGAATAAACCTTAGTTTTATGTTCAGCATTTATTAAAAATTTGGTCATTGTTACAACAAAACATACTTGTATGATCAATATTCATTAAAAATTTGCTCTTGGCTACAATAAAACATGTATGTTCATTATTCATTAAAAATATGGTCTCTGTTACAATAAACCTTTCTTTTATTTTCATTCTTCATTAGAAATTTGGTCTTTGTTACAATAAACTTTAATGTATGTTCATTATTCATTAAAAATATCATCTTTGTTACAATAAACCTTTCACTTTTCTACATTATTCATTAAAAATGTTGTCTTCATTACAATAAATCTTAATGTTTGTTCATTATTTATTAAAAAATTCATCTTTGTTATAATAATCCTTTCTTTTTATGTTCATTAATCATAAAAAGTTAGTCATTATTACAACAAACAAGTCAGTCTGTTCTTTAAATATTAACCATAAACTGATGTGTTATTCAGTCAATATTCCATGATTTGTTATTCCACAGTCAATATTCCACTGATTTGTTATTCCACAGTCAATATTCTTAACCTTTAGCTATTTTCTCTAGCTAGAGCAAGATACAACAATAAAATTTCAACATTCAAACAGGTATGACACTATTTAGCTATGGTAATTGGCTAATTAATTAACCATAGAAATTAAAAACAGGAAAGACTTAAGGCGAGAAAGAGCTATATCAAAAGATAGACTGATCAACGT